GCGGTCTATAGGGGCTATGAAGGCGTGACGAGGGATGGGAACGTCGCACTTAGTGTCAGAGGCAAGGGAGAGTTCTGCCTTCCAGGAACACCGTCGAAAATGCCACGTATTTGTACTCAGTCGAGCGCTCTAATATCAACGCTTCCTAAAAGCTGGACGCTTCCTTCAAGCTGGACGCTTCCTTCAAGCTGGACGCTTCCTTCAAGCTGGACGCTTCCTTCAAGCTGGACGACTTCCTTCAAGCTGGACGCTTCCTTCAAGTTGGACACTTCCTTCAAGCTGGACGCTTCCTTCAAGCTGGACGCTTCCTTCAAGCTGGACGCTTCCTTCAAGCTGGACGCTTCCTTCAAGCTGGACGCTTCCTTCAAGCTGGACGCTTCCTTCAAGCTGGACGCTTCCTTCAAGCTGGACGCTTCCTTCAAGTTGGACACTTCCTTCAAGCTGGACGTTTCCTTCAAGCTGGACACTTCCTTCAAGTTGGACACTTCCTTCAAGCTGGACGTTTCCTTCAAGCTGGACACTTCCTTCAAGCTGGACGCTTCCTTCAAGCTGGACGCTTCCTTCAAGCTGGACACTTCCTTCACGATGAACACTTCCTTCAAGCTGGACGTTTCCATCAAGCTGAACACTTCCTCAAGCTGGACACTTCCTTCAAGCTGGACACTTCCTTCAAGTTGGACACTTCCTTCAAGCTGGACGCTTCCTTCAAGCTGGACGCTTCCTTCAAGCTGGACACTTCCTTCACGATGAACACTTCCTTCAAGCTGAACACTTCCTTCAAGCTGGACACTTCCTTCATGATGAACACTTCCTTCAAGCTGAACACTTCCTTCAAGCTGGACGCTTCCTTCAAGCTGGACGCTTCCTTCAAGCTGGACGCTTCCTTCAAGCTGGACGCTTCCTTCAAGCTGGACACTTCCTTCAAGCTGGACGCTTCCTTCAAGTTGGACACTTCCTTCAAGTTGGACACTTCCTTCAAGTTGGACACTTCCTTCAAGCTGAACACTTCCTCAAGCTGGACATTTCTTTCAAGCTGAACACTTCCTTCAAGCTGAACACTTCCTTCAAGCTGGACGTTTCCTTCAAGCTGAACACTTCCTTCAAGCTGGACGTTTCCATCAAGCTGAACACTTCCTCAAGCTGAACACTTCCTTCAAGCTGAACACTTCCTTCTTCAAGCTGAACACTTCCTTCAAGTTGGACACTTCCTTCACTTCCTTCAAGCTTTCCTTCAAGCTGAACACTTCCTTCAAGCTGGACGTTTCCTTCAAGCTGAACACTTCCTTCAAGCTGGACACTTCCTTCAAGCTGAACACTTCCTTCAAGCTGGACGTTTCCTTCAAGCTGAACACTTCCTTCAAGCTGGACTTTTCCTTCAAGCTGAACACTTCCTTCAAGCTGAACACTTCCTCAAGCTGAACACTTCCTTCAAGCTGAACACTTCCTTCAAGCTGGACGTTTCCTTCAAGCTGAACACTTCCTCAAGCTGAACACTTCCTTCAAGCTGGACGTTTCCTTCAAGCT